CTATTGCATTAAATATTTCTTTAGTTAGTTGATTAGTTAATAAAGGACCTTCAAATAATATAAAAGAGTAATATCAATAACACAAGGAAAACTTGAGTTTGGTTCATTTATGATAATTAAGTCATTGTTATAGAAATATGTTTATTAATAATATTTATTATATTAGCACTGAAAATCCTAGTTTACAGACTGTAATAAATAACCATAATCTATCATAATAATCAAGTATTATATAACCTCAGGAATTATTAGTACAAAACATATTCAGATATATTGAATTTTTAATTTAGAGATAAGAATATTTGTAAATAAAAGAGTAAAAAAATACAAAAAAATAACTCATTGGAGTGATTTGTAGAATATAATTTGAGTCAGTTAGAATTACTTTAATTTTAATTGAACATATACACTTTGTTTTATTCAATTGAATCAAAAAGATCTTCTTCTTGAAAGTGTTTATTGAAAAAGTTACTAAAACCACCTGCCAGTATCACGATAGAGACGTTGGATGTTGAAAAATATTTTGAAGTAATAAATGCTTCTTTTAATGCCCGAGCACATTTTGGTCCACGTTGTTGTGACCTCATGCAGTGAACAACTATGTAATTATAATTATGATACTTCTCAAGAATTTGAGGAATTTTCTTCATAAATTCAGTTACTCTGTAGTTGATTGCTCCGTGAATTACACAAGTCCCAACATCACTTGAACGAACATCGAATATTTGTAGTTTAATTTTCTCATCCTTCATGAGTTGGATTAATTGTTCATCATTGATATAATCTACTTCAATATCCATAGTTTAGTATTTTTTTTAGTTTTAGATTGTTTTTTTAAATAAACAAAAAGAAATGTCTTTACTAAGGATTATTCATAATAAAGAAATTCATTTAAGGAGTTGTTTCATTTTTATACTTAAAAGATATCCATAGCCTTATAGAGTAATTTCTTCGTCAATACCAATTCTTTTAAATTCATCAAACTTGATTGAGTTGTATGTCTTTTATTTGGGTCATCATTCCAACATTTACTCATTAATTTGAAATATTCATCACTCATTCTTTCTGGTTGATCGACTTTTTTCCATACGTAACAAGCTTTGGTATTTTTCATTGATGATTAAACCTTGAACTATTCAAGCCAAATACAAATTTCTCAAGAAATATTTAATACTTTTACTATAGCAAATGAATATATATCACATAGATATGAATATTTCTCATTATCTCTGATTCCATATATGTAAGAGTTCTAATACCTTGACTTAACTCTTTTGTGTTGTATTGTATAAGAGTTATGCAAGTACTAAAACAGTTCAATTAATTTATCACAAGTGTTACTCACTGGATTTATTGAAAAAATTAATACATTTTAACTTTTGACAACCCTATGTAAATATTAGTCTTTGTGTAAATAAAAACAATGAAAAGATATTGTCATGAAATAATTTAACATTAAGTGAATAATTAATTTCATTAATGTTGCTCAACAACTGACTTAAATATCCAAATTCATCATATTCTATTATAATAGAGTTTTTATCAACTAAATAAACTCTTCAGATAAAAACTACACTACACTAACTTCTAAATTGAATCATCACTTGGGGTTTATGTTCAAATTCTCGTTTTTTGTTGTTCAGTAGCACTTTTAACTTTAATTCTCTTTAATAGTCACACTTCTTCCTCTTCATTTTCATCCGAAAATATAAATAAAAGTCCTTCTGAAATTATCAGTAATTCTGGTATTAAAACATTATCATTAAGTTTTAATAAATGTCATATTCAAATTTAATGACAATTTTTCAGTACATTCTTCATCACTTTGAATAACTTTCAATGATATTTCATCACAATGTTATGATACACATTTTAGTATTAAAATCAAAACAATATTAATTCCAATACAAATTTCAAAAACATCTTCTTTTGGTTTAATACCCAACGAATACTTATCTAAACTATATAATTCATGAAAAGTGTATATTTTCTTAGAATTATTTGAACTCTTGAGACTATCCAATCTATTTATTGCAGTTATTGATTCAACACTAACAAGTTTACTTGTTTTACTGCTAAATTCTAATACAAATTCACTAGCATTTAATGGAGATTCTTTAATTATTAACCTCATCCAATTTTAAAGAATCTTTATTTGTGATATCATATGTAGTACATGAAGCTTTTTTTATTGTTTCTTCTTAAATACAAAAGTTACAATAACGTAATACTAATAATAATAACTCCAGTAATAACTCTAACAATAATTTTTAAACATTCTCCATTCTTAACTCCAAAGTTATTTGAACATTCAAATAAATTGATCAAAATTACTTTTGATACAATATGAAATCTAATACATAAAATATATCCTCCATTTGAAACATATACATAATTACGATTCCATGAATTACAATAACATTTCCAATATTAATAATAAATTCACGGTTTAAACAATCTTCATAAGATTGTGTCAAATTATAATCTGACTTTCCAATTTTATAAAAATAAGTCATATTAATCTCTTCTACACTCCTGAATATCTTTGTACTGTTACCTTCCTCTTTCTATAAATATCAATTATTAAGCAGAATTAACATAGTAATATTCATTTGTACAAATGGAGCATGTCTTATTACATTTCAAACAAACAAAGGCATGTTCTTCTTCATTTGAAGAAAGATGGTAAGGAGAATTACACATTAAACAATATCCAAAAGAAGTATGTTCACATAGGGTATGACTTAATTCAACAAACTCATATATCCTCTGTCATTCATTATCAGTTAGTAGATATTTAAGAACATATCTGTTAATACAAGAAGTACAATAATTGCTTTTTCTTTCAGATTCTTGATAAATAGATTCATTCTCATTTAAGTAATATTCAAATTCATCATTTTTGCATTTGCTGATGATTCGCATTGCAAACAATGAAATACTTAATTGAAGTCACAGCCGACTTCTTTCAAAACACATTTTCGATGTGGAATCTAGTTTGAAAGTAAATAAAAATATTGAAGTTGTAATGCGCTCACTACAAGAATTATCACATGGAAAACATTTCCAATATTCCATCATATAACAATGACTTTCATATGGCAAACAACTTTATATTAAAATTGTTTCTTTACAGTGTTCAGATTCTTTAGCAATATATTCTAATTCATTTTAACTGTTCATTTTATAAATATAACCATCATCTCAGACTGAACATTTTCTTTATGCATATATTATAGAATAAACTAGACAACCCAGAAAATTATAACCACATTCTCCACACATCTCATCTTTGAGCTAATAGTCATCTTCACAATAAATTCAATAACTACCAAATAAATCTTGTGTAAAATCTGTATCATTGTAGAAAACTCTTAATTGAAATACAAAGACTTGTACCAGTTACTTTTCAAGTAAGTTTTATTGAAACATTAATAAAACATTGTATCAGCAACATTTTCATTATAATTACTTTGACAAAGAACATATCATTTCAATAACAAACTAAAACACTGACCATCATGACATATCCCACTACCGTCACATTTTTGTTTCATATCTAAGGAAATCCATAAACCACCATCACATTCCTCACAAATTATTTGGTCATTTATAATAAAACACTATTCACATCTAACGCCTGATTAACTATAAATGATATATGTGTTGTTTGCTATATTCAGTGTATATTCCTCATTACATTCAATAAAATGAATTCCACCATAATACTTACAACTATCCACAATCTTAATAAGCTTACATAAAATTTCTGAGGTATTAGCATTAACATCATCTATTTTATGAATGTAATACATAGAATAATATTTACTACACAATACATCACTAACCTCAGTTTGGCAAAAGCCAATATCAAGAAATTCTAAAACAATTCAAAGAGAAGTAATAGGCTATCTTTACAATTCATAAACTCTTTAACAAAAAAAACCTTAAACAATCTTTTGTTTATGACTTTAACAATAATATTTATTAATTCTTTTTAAATATACAAATTCCTTTTCATCCTTCTTCTAAGTTCTGGTAAAACATTTGTTAATTACTATTCATTTAATACTTCTATTAATTAGGTAAAGAACGTAAAATAATATCTCTACCTAATCCCCATATTACTTCTATAAATAAGAACTTAAAATAAAAAAAATAGTGTTAAATATAAACAGAATACATCAAACATTGGAAAGCGTTATTTTTCAACTTGTTGTTCTTTGTCCTTTATTATTGGAGGTGTTCTTGGAGAAATTCGTGGTGAAGTTTTTGGAGAAGTTTTTTCGCTTTGAATAGTTTGTGATTTTATACGAGGAGAAGGGACAGCTAAATCTTTAGATTCGTAAAATTGTCTTATTTGACCAAATTTACTAGAGAAAATTGTCTTTTTATTATCAATGTTAATCTCTATTTTATGTTCTTGGTGTTTAACACCAGTTGGTTGTTGTGAGCTACTAACATTAGAAGAAGGAGAGATTGATTTACTTTCTACTTTTTGGTTAGGAACTTCTAATGAATTTCTTGAGTCATTGAGAGGAGATATAATTGAAGGTGTTAAGGTAGTAGATGAAGAAACTGAGTTAGGTGTGTTTAATGGAGAATGACAAAATTTTGAAGGAGAGAACTGTGTTCGTTGTGGACCAACAGAAAAAATAACAGACCTCATTACTGGAGAACTCTTTTGGAAATCACTAAGATTTGCAAATGTTAGTTGTGTTTTTGCTTTTAGATTCAAAGAGTCTGTTTTACCAAAACGTCTCTTTTGAACGTGCCTCCTTGGTGTTTCTATTAGTGAACGGGTTGAATCATTTAATAAATGTGGAATAATTCTTGCATTCTTTTTTGCTATTAGTTCATTTGCTGGTGATGCTTCTGAAGAAACAGCAACCCCTGCATTAATTTGAAGAACAGTAGAAGTAGAGAGAAAATCAATAGAAGGTAAAGACAATACAAATTCGTGTACAACCTCTACTTTTGGTTGTTGATTAATGACATTACTTGAATTTAGAATTAGAAAAGATAAAATACGTTCTGATAATCCTGGTGTTAAACCATAAAATAATAAAGGAGCAAATCCTTGTGGTAATATATCTTTAGAGAAGGAAAAATGTAATGACAATAATTGTATGACTATACTAACAATAGGTCTCATTGCATCCGTTAATTCATCAAATGCTCTTCTTAATAACTCAATACGATCTTCTTTATCTAGGAAATCAAATGACACGAAATGTTTTGTATGTTCAATTGGAATCATTGGTTCGTTTAATGATAGTAAATACATAACAAGTAATCCTCCTGCAATAGGACTTCTTATAATTCCCTGTTCTTCAAAATTTCTTATTTGAGCAACACAATCATCAACCCTTACATCAAAATATCCTTGTTTGGTAAATTCTTCAGAATTATAGATAACTTCAATTAATCGTTCAAATTGTTTTGGAACTCCAGTGTTAGAACATTCAATGTCATGTCGGTCCGTTCCAAACAATCGTTGGTATCGTTGTTTCCTACTAATTTGACAAATTCTTTTAATAAATCCTCTTGCCGTTGTTAAATCACATGTTAATGTTAGTGGAGATGTGAATGATAGAATTAATCTATTGTCAATATAATTTTCATCTAGCCTAAAAGAAATGGTATTTTTCCAAACATTTAGTTCTATAGAAAGTAATTCAATTGGATAAATAGCCTTAAAATGTTCTTCGACATAAATAATTACCATTACATCAACTATAATAGCTATTGCATTAACATTATCTAAATGAAAAACATATTCATTGTAAAACCGTGCTGA